AGAGAGAGAGAGAGAGAGAGAGAGAGAGAGAGAGAGAGAGAGAGGCAAACAGAGAGAGAGACAGGCAAACACACAGAGAGAGAGAGAGAGAGAGAGGTCAGACAAGAAAAGAGATGCTCCGTGTATACTCACCCAGGCGCCTCCCGTGTTCGATGCTGAGATGGCCATCTGCACACCAGAGACGAGTGCTCCGGCAAGCACACCTGCAAGAGTGTCCACTCCGAAGAAGAAACCAGCAATGATGGGCGTGAGCATGACCAGACATCCAGGTGCAACCATCTCTTTGAGAGAGGCATCGGTCGAGATCGTCACACACTTCTTGTAGTCTGGCTTGACAGTACCTTCCATGAGACCTTCTATTGTGCTGAACTGCCTCCTCACCTCCTCCACCATCGCCAGGGCAGCCTTCCCCACACTCTTCATCGTCATCGCGGAGAACCAATACGGCAGCATGGCACCAACGATGAGGCCCACAAACTCCCGAGGCGCAATCACATTCACTTGCTCGATCTCTGCCCGGTTGACATACGCACCAAACAACGCAAGCGACACCAGAGCTGCCGACCCAATGGCAAAGCCCTTGCCGATTGCAGCGGTGGTGTTGCCCGCAGAGTCCAGGGCATCCGTCTTCTCACGTATGGCCGGGCCAAGCTCAGCCATCTCTGCGATTCCACCGGCGTTGTCACTGATAGGCCCGTACGCATCAATAGCGAGGCAAGTGGAGAGAGTGCTGAGCATTCCAAGCGCAGCGCAGGCAATGCCGTACATGGCTGCCAGGCTGTAGGACAGGTACACTGCGCACGCGATGGCGAAGACGGGCACGATCACCGACCTGTACCCCAGAGCCAGGCCAAAGATGATATTCGTTGCGGCTCCCGTTCTGCACGCGTCCGCCACATCGCGCACGGGACTGTACTGGTGACTGGTGAAATACTCAGTCACGTATCCGATGACCAAGCCCGCCCAAAGCCCGGCGGCCACGCAGAAAAACATGTACCAGTTCTTCACCACCTTATTGGGTTCCCCGGCAACAATGATCTCAAACTTCGACGGCAGGCACAGGAACGATACCGCCAGAATCCCGAAAGTCATAAGGACGGACGAGATCAACAGCTGCCTTTTCAGACTGGGCTCAATCTCTTTTATGCTCCCAACCACCTGGATGTCTGTAGCGACAAGTGTGGTCACAATGCAGGCGATGATGCCCACGGCAGTGATCATCAGAGGGAAGCTCATGGCTGCAAAATCTCTCGCCGTGCCCATGGAAGATAGAGAAGAGATGACCAGTGCAGCGCACGTGGACTCCGCAAACGAGCCGAACAGATCTGCACCCATCCCAGCGATGTCACCCACGTTATCACCGACGTTATCCGCAATCACAGCAGGGTTCCTGGGGTCGTCCTCTGGAATGTTCTGCTCCACCTTCCCCACCAGATCGGCTCCCACGTCAGCTGCCTTCGTGTAGATGCCTCCTCCCACTCGGCCGAACAGAGCTACCGACGATCCCCCGAGGCCATACCCCGCGATGGACTCGTAGAGGCCCACCCAGTCATCTCCAAAGTATTGCTTGAATCCCAGAATGGCCAAGTATAGGACCAAAAGGCCATTAGCAGTGAGCAGGAAACCCATCACAGAGCCTGCTCGAAATGCCACCGAGAAGGCGGCACCTATTCCCTTCCTTGCCTGCAACGTTGTCCGCGCATTGGCGTACGTAGCGATCTTCATGCCGAGATACCCCGACAGAGTGGACGTCAACGCCCCAAGTGCAAATGCCAAAGCACTGAAGCCTGCGACCGCAATGCTCGGAGCACACATCTTCCCCTCAGGCGCCGCTGGATCGCATGGCGTCCACTTTCTTCCAAACTTGTCCACCGAACCCAGGAATAGGAATATGATGAACGTAAATAATCCCATAAAGATTGCTAGATACCAATACTCCGTCGTCAAGAACGAAACCGCACCCATTGAAATCGCATCCTGAATCTGTTATAATCAACAACCCACCATACATATGAACAACACAATGAATACATCAGAAACACCACCATGGAAAATTTAGCACTCAAGACAGTTTTTAAAACTTTTTTTATTTATTTTACCACCACTACACGGCCATACATCAGCTGCAGGCCACTCACCGCCACTTTCGAGGAGACCAGAAACATGACAAAGGCCAGTAATGAAATTTATCAACGGTGGCTCGGCCCCAAACTTTTTGGAGTAGCCGATGGGTTTCTTAACCGCTAGTACACCGGCCCAGCCTTGCTGAAAAGAAACTCGTAGGCGAAAAACTCGTCGCCTACGAGTTTCTTCCGAAAAATACGGTGCAGGAGCACTGTCGATTAAAAGAATCTGTGGCCTGCGCCGCCTACCGGATTCTGACGGACGTCCGCGGCGATAGCTGGATGTACTTGTGGTTTAAAGTTTAAACCTCTCTGCACATAGCCAGATCGGCAGGTGCCCTGTTCCGATCACCACGAACCATACTTGCGGCGCATTAGTGCGGTGCGCGATGCGGTGCGCTGCGCCGTGCGGAATGCGCGTGGTGACGCATGTGCGCGCGCACGCGCACGAGGTGCGCCGTGCGCGCAGCGCATGAGGACGCGCTACCAGTGCAAGGTGCGCACTGTGCGCGATGCCTATTTTCGGGGTGTGTGTGTGTGTGTGTGTGTGTGTGTGAGAGAGAGAGAGAAGAACCGTGTGCTGACAGTATCGGACCGAAGACACCGCCCTTGTCGACGGGCAACATGAATCTGGAAGCGGGGCGACATGTACAAAGGACAAAAAATGTGGCGGTGTATCTTTCCATGTTCTAGCGGAAGATTCATTCATACGTTGGGTGGTGGAGAGCGAAGGGCCGATGAATCACGTAAGCACGTAACGTATCTCTGGAACCTTTTTTTTTTTTTTTTGGAGAATCTCTGAACAAATGAGACTGAATCCTCCGCTTGAACATGGAATGATACATTGCCATATATGTCTTGTTGTGCATGTTGAGAGTAGTGCCGCGAGCCCGTTGGTAAACATTACCGTTGAGGTTCTGACAGGTTGGACGCGCCGGGCTTCNGTGCCGGGCTTCACTCGTGCAAAGAGCTGTTCTTCCTTTACGTTTTTTTCCTTTTATTAAAAAAAAAAAATCCAGGAAAAACGGCTGCCAGTTCCGTCGTTTTCTACTTCAGAAGTAATACGAAGAGAACGTTTTGAGAGATCGCGACCCTCATCATGACTGAATCTGGCCTGCAAGAACCCTACCATACAGACTGCAATACCCTACCACACACACAGAGTGTTACCCGAACTACAGGTTACTAAAAACTTTCAGGTCAATGCGCGGCCTCCAAAAAAAATTTGGCTGCCCGTTTCCTATTTTACGCGAGCAGGGGGCCGGGTCTACTACCGCCCCTCACAACTTTTTTTTTTTTTTTTGACCCCCATTTTTTTAGGTGCGCCGCATGCAGTGCGCGCGCGTCGTGCGGGATGCGCTGTGCGGCGCACGTGCGCAGTGCAGCGCATCGCGATGCGCCGCAAGTACGCCACGAACGTATACAGACGCTGTTCCAGTACAAATACAGTCATTATGCAGAGGCATTGTGTTTTTCGGGGAAGAAGATATCACCGTCGTCCAGACATATCATAATTCCCAGCCACCACAGCATGAAAGGGGCTTTTTTTTTTTCTTCTTTTTTTTTTTTTCTTTTTTTTTTTTAAAGGGCAACGGCCTTGAGATATCATAATTGAGCTGACCGGCCCCAGGCAATTCAGAAATATTCGGTGTTTACTCATCAATCAGGTTCCATCATCATCTGGATTCCAACTCAGGTCTGTATTTCAACAGTTCATGGGTGTAATCACTGAGCTAGGCTCTTGGGTTCTTGAGCCTTTTTGAGCCTTTTCCTGTTCTGGTGCCTTTTTGAGCCTTTTTTAGCCTTTTTGAGCCTTCTTTTCCTGTTTTCCTGTTTTCCTGTTTTTTTCTTTCTTTTTTCCATTTTTGAAGGTTCGGTGCGCCGCCCTGGACACACGTAAATGATGACAGCAACAAGAATCTCCAGCCATGGTATGAAGGGACTACCGTCTTCCCCCGAACACAACGCACCCCCTTTATGGCTGTACCAAACCGGAAAGACAGCGTGTATACGTTCATTATCAGTGTGTGTTATGTTCGGGGGAAGACGACAGGTAGAGCTGCCAATTGGCTGAATTTGTACGACTGAGTTGAACTAACGGATGTCCACCAGGTCAGGAGTTCAAATCTGGTGGAATGCGACACAATCGTAAGACCGAACAAGAAAAAGAAACACATACACACAGCGATCCTGAGCGAAGGAAAACAGGACTCCCGGTAGGAGGGGTGTTAGTAGACAGACTCTGGTGGAGGAAATGGTTGGGGAACCTGCAGTAGGCTGTCTGATGGGGATCCTCCAAGATAGGATGGTCTGGGTCCGTCGTGGGTCCAGAAAAACGTTTTCCAAACGAAGATTACTGCTTTTATTTTTTTATTCATTAAAAAAAAAAAGTTCCCGAGGGAAAGTCTAAACACCACGTTGATTGATCGACCAGTGGGGGTCGGGTGCCGATGTGCAAGAATAGCCGCGTCTGTGTGGTTTGTCTGTGTGTTGTTGTGTGTGGTGTGTGTTGAGTTGGACACTACACCCTTGCAGGGGTGGGGTGGTTATCACTACCCGTATGGTTCCACTGCTGAACACCGTGTCCTGGCCGTAGATACCTGGCTCTTGAGGCCGAGGTCGCTGGTTCTCATCCGTGCTTGCATGGAGGAGGGCTTTAGGCTCAGATATGCAGATCCATCATCCATTTGCTGCTGTTCAGCCGGGATTCAGGACTCCAGACTCCAGATCGTTGCCGTGTCTCTGTGTGGTGTTGTGTGTGGTATGCTTTGAGTTGGACACTACAGCCCCTTGCAGGGGTGGGCTGCGTATCATGACCGGTATGGTTCCGCTTTTCAACACCCTGTCCTGGCGGTAGCGGTTAAGATACTTGGCTCTTGAGGCGAAGGTTACAGGTTCAAATCCGTGCTTGCATGGACGAGGGCCTTGAGCCCAGATGTACAGATCTATAACTTCTGGCTGATCTCTACCAACAGCCCACCCCTGCAAGTTCGAACCCAAATGCAACCTACGTGGGGAGGGTCAGCTTGAACCTATGAACTGGTGTGAAAATACACACCCTGTGTAGCATACGTTCGCGACCGAACACGAAGGAGCCCCAAAACCCTCTGAAAGCAAACATTAAAAAAAAAAAAAAAAAAAGTTCTCAGAAAAATCTGAAAAAAATATATGTTCTGTAAAATAATAATACAAACAACTTTTCCCTGGGAGGTAAAAAAATATATGTTCTGTAAAATAATAATACAAACAACTTTTCCCTGGGAGGTATGCTCAAATTCGTAACCAAACTCGGGAGGCGTTCAGCCGAACACCCGAACATGTTCGGACGTTCCGAAAAGCTTCAGTGTGCTACACAGTACACACCTATGAACTTGTGTGAAAATACACACCTTCAGACATTCCGCAAAGCTTGGGTGTGCTACACAGTACACACCTATGAACTTGTGTGAAAATACACACCAGTGCGGGTCAGTTTGAACGGTCAGTACACCTATGAACTGGTGTGAAAATACAGACCCAAGTTCGGAGTCTTCGGACCCAAATGCAACCTGGGGGGGGGGGTCGGGGGGGGGTCAGTTTGAACATGACATCTCAAGGCGGCCGCCCCCCTCCCAAAAACAAAGAAACAAACAAACAAATAAACAAAGCCCTGTTTGATTTCCCTTTTATTTCTTTTCTGAACATATCAAAATTGGATTGGATGACTGGACAGGGCCTCGATTTCCAGGGGGGGGGAAATAAAATCACTTCTTGTCTGGTGCAAGTTACGGTCATGTGCAAAAAAAAAAAAGTTACGGTCATGTGCAACAACCCCAGGTGCAACTTAGGGGCTGGCCACACTGCTCTCAAAAAGAGAGAGCGACAAAAATGTGGCGGGTGCATCTGGCCATTTTCTAGCGGGAAGTTCATTCTCATTCTGCACTTTTCGATTCGAGAGTGGTGTGGCGATGTCCTTAACGTCAGGTGCAGCTTAATGTCAGGAGCACGGTAGAGGTTAGTCGTGTGTGTGTGTGTGTGTGTGTGTGTGTGTGTGTGTGTGTGTGTGTGGGGAGAGAGAGAGAGAGAGAGAGAGAGAGAGAGAGAGAGAGAGAGAGAGAGAGAGAGAGAGAGAGAGAGGAATCCCTTTAAAGGAGAATTCAAGCGCGCAGGGTAGGAATAAACAAGTATCCTGAGGACCAAAGTTACTTACAGTGGAAAAAAAAAGAAAAAGTACAGTGCGGGCATATACTCGCACTATAACTTTTTCAACTCAGCTGTGGACGTGGTTGGGGTCAGATGCATTCAGGTCCGTGCGAAATTGCGGTCAGATACAATTAGAAAACTGCTGGTGTGAGTAAGCGCCCTGAAATAGGACGGAGAGGGTCCCGTGGGGGAACAGGGAAATTTTTAACTGAGGTAGTTACTACCACCAAAAAAAAAAAAAAAAAAAAAAAAAAAAACTGAGGTAGTGGTCGGGTGCGTGGGGGGACCCGGGACCTTGTCCCACTTGCACCCTTTCGTTGAGGCAGCTCAACGCTGCAACGGCTAAAAAAAATCATTCTAATTCAATTTCAAATGAGAAATGCATTTATAAATGGCACGAATACAGTTGTTCTCTTTTTTTTTTCCTCACAATTGGAGTGGCATACGGGCACTTCCACAGCAGAAAATGAACAGTTGCCAGAATCCCGTCCCGGTACAAAAATGGCGAACGGAAGAGAAGGCTCGTACAGTTTCTCTAAAAAAACGCCCTTTGGCAAAAGGAACAAGAGGGTCGTTGAGAGACAGCTAGGGTCGTTGAGCGACATAGCTGTCTCGAAAAAAGGAGACAGCTAGCTCAAAGGAAAGTGCCGAGGGTAGGGGGAGTAGTATTCGAGAGAA